CCAGAGAGAGGAGTGACACAGCTCTCCCTGACGGCACTGGGCAGTGAGCCCTGAAAATGCATGACCTAATCTGCATTTCTTGGAGAAATATTTGGCAGTTGATTAGAAACATTTGAAAGTTTACGATATTTAAAGACGGTCTTAATTTATATTGACCTATAGATTTGTTACCTCTGCATCCAGAAATGGTTTGATTTGGTGAAAGAACTTAAAACATTTCTTGCCGACTTTGAACCAGTCATTGAATCCAGCCTTATTGCATCGTGGAGGACACAGACCACCGCTACAGCCATGGAGTCCTGGAACTTCACGTAGAGACAGAGCCAATCAATCAATCAATCAACCAATCAACCAATCAACCAATCAACCAATCAACCAATCAATCAAATAGCCTTAAAATGTGTTGTCAAGAAAAGAACAGCTCTAAGACCAGCCCCCTGCAGACCTGCAGAGTCTTCACATGTAATCTGTCAGAGTCGCGTGGGGAGAGACAGGCGCTGAGGTGTCATGGCGAATCAGAGAGTAGTGGAAACCAAGCAGAATGAACTGTGCCAGCCTGGACAGACCCGGGCTGTGAGTGCTAAATGAAGAGGCGTACCTGCAGCAGACAGCACTGCTATTGCGCCCAGAACACACAGCAGAAGCACAGCCTTCATCTCCAGAGTTGATACTGCAGGAGGAGAGAGAATTAACCCTCAAAATGCCAGTCAGAATGCCCAGGAGATGAGCCTCATGGGACACAGAGACACAGAGACACAAGCCATCTTCCATTTATTTTGTGTATACAGACTTTAACGTTCAGGCTTTTTCTTTTTGAAATAAAGTTGGACATAACATTGAGTACAAGTAAGGGTTTACGGCAAACTGAAAAGAGAAGAAAGGAAACAATGTTCCTGCTGTGCAGCCTTCTTTGGGATCGATGCCTTTTTTTTTCAACATGGAATAAACCTTTACTTATTCCTTTGCCGCCTGACGCAGCTCCCTGCTTGAATAACATTTAGTACCATGCTTCAACAGACAGTTTCTTGATACCACATCTTAGATAACTAGAGCACATGGCAATTAATTGCACAGTTTTCTCCACCACATGGGCTTAGAGGCTGAGATGCAAGAGTTATTTTCGAGTCGTTTGAAGCAGAGCACTTGTTAAACGAGGAGAGTGCTGTGTCCAGCTCTCCCACTGATTTCTGTTAGTACCTACCGGAGGAGTCTGCAAGCGAAGCTGTTTCATACATACCCAGTGCAGTGACGGGCGTCCTCCTGTCCGAGCCGTTCTTGTCCCTCTGTCGCCAGGACCTCTGAGCTCAGCTCGGACAGGGGCGGCAGCATTTATAGCTCCTGGGTTTGGCGTTTTTCACCTGCCTTATAAGGCGACGTTCTGGAAAGTGCTGCCCTCTGGGTTCCCAGAGTCCTTTGTGCCTCTGGGCACGTTGGCTTTCCACAATGCGGCTTGTCACGTCCACTCTTGTGAGTGTGAGTGGCTTTGACACCTCTCACTGTCCGCGTGCGGTTCACGTGCACACGCTAAGAACAGACTCACTCCTGTTTGTGGGAGCTGTGTGTGCTCCACAGCTAGCAGTAAGAGGGGTCCGTTTCGAGTGTTCTGCCCCACAGCGCGCAACATTCAGAAAAAGACAAGATTTTCTCTGAAAACATCAGAAAAAAAAGAAGGTTGAGGATGAGTTGTGAGAATTTGTTGTGGAGCGATCCTGCTGCTCTATGCCCCTGCCTGCACACAGATTGGGCCCAAGAGTGAGGAACTGCAGACTGGAAACCAGCATTTCATAGACAGATTAAAACAAAATAAAGAGGAACTAGTTTAAGACAAGGAAGGCGATACAAAAGTACATGATAAAGGGCAAGAATTTAAGGACATAAAAAGCTTAGTATTATTTTCTTCTCGTGTCTGTGCATTGAGAGTCTGAGGGCTTTACTAACAGTTATAGGGCTCAGCAATACGCTATCATACCACAGGCAGCAAGAATAATACTGATGAACACTGAAGTATAAACACACACACTTAAGGGAAGTGGTCCAGAACTCTTTTCAATCTGTCTTTTCTATGTTCTATGTTTTTTTCTGTGTCTAAGTTTGAGGTTTGTGTTTGTGTTAAGAAGTCCTGTGTGCTAGAAGGAAGAAGCTCACAGGACGGAGACTGTTACAGTTCACACTTGGTGCTTAACGTGTTTTTATGCATCTGTTTAGACAGAGATTAAAGAGAAAGACTGAGCCAGAAATTCACAGACTTTGCATTTCAACATACTTTATTTCTGACAGCTTTTGCAAAAAGCAACCCGTCCATTTTCTAAGTGCTGCTTCCAATTCAGGGTCACGGCGGAGCCACAGTCTATCCTGGCAAGCACCAGGTGCAAGGCGGGGTACACCCTGGACAGGACGCCAGTCCATTGCGGGGCACCCAGAAACACACACACCCCAGGGCATATTTTCCCAGAAGCCAGCTAACCTGCCTGAATCTCTTTGGACTGTGGGAGGAAACCGGAGCACCCAAAGGATACCCACATGAACACAGGGAGAACATACAAACTACACACAGAGCCCACCCCAACCCCAGTTGAACCCAGAGCTCATTGTATGTTATGTAGTGTAGTTTGTGTCACTGTCATCATTAATAAACATCTGTTTAACCAAGTGCACCTGGATTATTACTCTTTTCACCAAAGCTGTTTCAGAGAAAGAATTCATGTGCCTCTAATTACACCAACCACTCGGGTATATTCTGGAGAAATCACTTACAAGCTGGGAGTTATGAATAAATATTTTATTTGTGGACTAAACTGCTTGGTCAATCTCTGATTTTCACCATTTTCATAACCCCCCTTTGTACCAGTTGCTGTCAGTACAGGATTCTCTGGTTCAAGTAGTTTTGTGCGAGAGTAAAGAGTAATAATTTACAGAAGTAGATTTAATATTTGTGCAGCGTTTTCCTCGAATTGTACAATGGCATCGACACAGAACGTTATCACTATAATTATGCACTGCCATGTCTCCCATGCACGTTTTTCACGGCATTCAACAGCGCTCATCTGAACTCATGTGGGAGCTCACAATGCAGGGCCAACACGAGACAGTGGGCATTGATTTGGGCCAGAGCAGCATCACTGCTGGCCACCCAGTGCTGCTGAAGAAAACCAGGCCTGCGTTTGGGCTGGGCAGACCAAAACTGTCTGCGGTGATTCGGCCTTTCTTGCAGGAGCTGTTCATGGAACCTGGTTAAGCATCAATCCAGTGACCTGCCTGTTTACCCCAGGATGAAAGGACCTGGATGGATTAGGTTTCCAGCTGCCAAGCGGAGGGGATGTTTGCTGAGATGCAGTGATCAAAGCAATCATATAGCTAGTTGGCCTAGTTAATTACGTTGTGGGTAAATGATTTAGTGTCTATCAGCAGTCCAGAAACACGCTGTATAAGTGTTGCGCCACACCCCCGGAGGACTTGTCATTCCACCTCGCATTCCAGCACGGTTCCCAGTTAGACCATTTACCCCAGCCCTTCACACTCTCCCCTGGGCTCAGTATTGGGGTTTTCATGGTTAGAGCTACTTCAGCTTTTCACTATTACTTACTACTTGGTTTTTGGCTTCCTGACCCTGGTTTGTTCTCCGACTACGTCTCCCGGTTTTGGTTTTGGTACTTTGGTTCTCGTTCTGGTTTTGATTCTCGGCTTCCGGCTCCACTTCTGGTTTTGTACTTTTGCACTGGTTTGTTAACCTTCTTCTTTCGGACCTCGGACTGTTATTTCGACTACGCCTCTGGGGATTGCCCTGGTTTTTCTGCCTCACTAATATTTTCTAACAATAAGTTTAGATCTGGAGAGGAGAAGAAGAGAAGAGAGAGAGGGGAGTCTGGAGGAGCTGAAACTTGAAGCTTGTGCCAGGCGAGAGCCCTTACTTCATGATCATCCAGACAAAACCCGACTACAGCTCAGTGTTCCAGCCTTGCTAGAGAGAGCGTGCTGTTCTGTGTTCTTAGGGAACCTGGGTTGCCTGAATAAAAATATCTCGGTTAAAGACAGCTTTTCCTGCTTGTGAGTGCATTTTTAGAATAGAGAGATAAGCTCCCCTTTATTTTGTTGTTTCCGGGTTTGTGGAAAGAGAGGGATTTAACTGCAGGTTAGAAGGCAGCTTATCTCTTATTTTATTCTCTGTAGGCTTTATTTAAGAGTCGAATGCTAGGAAGCAGCCTGGTGTCTTCTGGGTGACTAGAACGTTAGGCCTCTGGAACGCCTTGTCTGTACATACTGTAAATATAATAACTTGTGCGTGGTATTTTTGCTGTGCGTAGCGTAGTTTGTGTCACTGTGATTGTTAATAAATACTTGTTTAACCGAGTGTGCCTGGGTTATTACTCTTTTCACCACAGCTGTGCCAGAGAACAAAGAATTCACGTGCCTCTAGTTATGACAACCAATCGGGTATAATCTGGAGAAGTCACTTACAAGTTAGGGGGTTAAACATATTTATTTTACTTATTGACTAAACTGCTCGGTCGATCCCTAATACTCATTATTTTCGCAACCCCCCTCTTTTGTATCAATATGTTCTCATCTCTTCCAAAGATAAATTGAATTTCAGCTACTAAAAGTATTGATGGGATCAACATGCTCTCCTTATGTATACACTATCTTAGTTTTATGTCCACTTGAATAATTCTTGTGTGCTAGAAAGAAGCAGCTCTCAGTTCACAGCTTCTCTGGATGGGGGAGGGTGTCAGTAGGACTGAGATGAGATGAGATGGGGGTATCTGTGTGGGCAAGTGACTGACTCTAACCTCTAACTGGAAACTTTGTTGCAATTCTTGCAAAACAGCCATAAACCCACAAGAAACACTTGATGTTTATCACAGATATCACATATGCACCCAGTGTCACACAGCTCCTTTACACATAATTCACCCTGCAAACATCTGCACCCAGTGCCTGGGCCTGAGGGGAGTCTGGTGTGGTCACATGTCTG